GACTCAAAATGTATGAAAGACCTAAATGTGAGACAGGAATCCATCAAAATCCTAGAGGAGAACACAGGCAGCAACCTCTGTGACCTTGGCCACAGCAACTTCTTGCTGGACATATCTCCATAGGCCAGGGAAACAAAGGCAAAAATGAACTATTGTGATTTCATCAAGATTAAAAGCTTTTGCACAGCAAAGGAAACAGTCGACAAAACCAAAAGACAACCAACATAATGGAAGAAGATATTTGCAAATGTCTTATCAGATAAAGGGCTAGTATCCAAAATCTATAAAGAACTTATCAAACTCAACACCCAAGGAACAAAGAATCCAATCAAGAAATGGGCAGAAGACATGAACAGACATTTCTGCAAAGAAGACATCCAAATGGCCAACACACACATGAAAAAATGCTCCACATCACTCAGCATCAGGGAAATACAAATCAAAACCACAATGAGATACCACCTCACACCAGTCAGAATGGCTTACATTAACAAGTCACAAAATGACAGATGTTGGCAGGGATGTGGAGAAAGGGGAACCCTCCTACACTGTTGGTAGGAATGTAAGCTGGTGCAGCCACTCTGGAAAATACTATGGAGGTTCCTCAAGAAGTTAAAAATAGAGCTACCATATGACTTAGCAATTGCACTACTGGGTATTTACCCCAAAGATACAAATGTAGTGATCCGAAGGGGTACGTGCACCCCAATGTTTATAGCAACAATGTCCACAATAGACAAGCTATGGAAAGAGTCCAGATGTCCATCAACAGATGAATGGATCAAGAAGATGTGATATACGGGGCGCCTGGGTGGCTCAGTTGGTTAAGCGAATGCCTTCGGCTCAGGTCATGATCCTGGAGTCCCTGGATCGAGTCCCGCATCGGGCTGCCTGCTCGGCAGGGAGTCTGCTTCTCCCTCTCCCACTCCCCCTGCTTGTGTTCCCTCTCTCGCTGTGTCTTTCTCTGTCAAATAAATAAATAAAATCTTTAAAAAAAAAAAAAGATGTGATATATATATGTGATAGATATATATATACACACACACATACACACACACACAGGAATACTATGCAGCCATCAAAAATGAAATCTTGCCATTTGCAATGACATGGATGGAACTAGAGGGTATTATGCTAAGCAAAATAAGTCAATCAGAGAAAGACAATTATCATAAGATCTCACTTTTATGTGAAATTTGAGAAACAAAACAGGATCGTAGGGGAAGAGGAAAAAATAAAAGAAAACAAAATCAGAGAGGGAGGCAAACCATGAGAGACTCTTAAATATAGGAAACAAACTGAGGGTTGCTGGAGGGGAGGGAGGTGGGGGGATGGGGTAACTGTGTGATGGGCATTAGGGAGGGCACATGATGTGATGAGCACTGGGTGTTAGATAAGACTGATGACTCACTGACCTCTACCTCTGAAACCAATAATACATCATATGTTAATTAATTGAATTTAAATTAAAAAAATAGATCTGGTTGTTCTTTTAAAAAAAAAAAAAGAATAGAACCTAAGGAATGTATGTATATCACACACACCCAAAGCTTGTGTTTTAACCTTTTTCTTTCCTTTCTTTAGTTCATTTATTAATTTGTTATTTTTTTTTCTACAGCTATTTGTAGAGGCTACATTTCAGGCAGTATATAGGTGCTCAGGAGTCAAGGATGAGTAAAAGCAGGCATGCATCCTGGTTGCATAGTGGGAATGAAAACAGTTAAGCCAAAAGCACACAAGAAAATATTTTCAAATTATGCTAAATTCTGTGAACAAGAATACGGCATTTTATGTAACAAGGTGACCTGATTTAATATGGAGTATTAGAAATGTCTCTGTGAGAAGTGTCACTTGGGCTGAGGGTGAAAGATGAAAAGAACCGGGCAGTGGACAGCATCGTGAATGTAGGCATGGGCCACACCACATCACAGTCTTCTAAGGCTGGAGAGAGCATGAATTACTAGATGAGGTATGGAAGAGATCTAAAGTTAAGTCTGAGAAAGTAAACAGAGACAGGCCATACAGGATCCTATAGACAATAGAAAGAGGTGAAAGGGTTTTATGCGGCTGGATGATACAAGGCTCACAGTGTAAAAATATAACTGGGGTGTGTAGAAAGGACTGGAGAGGTCCAAGATTATCCAGAGAAAGCTATGAGTAGCTACAACCATAGTCTGGGTCAAACATGATGGAACAGGGTGGAGTACATGGTAGTCTTCTATTGATTATCTCTTATCCTACTGAGCACACTGCAATGCATCTCATATGCAGTGGGACCAGACTTAGTATTTTCGGAGCTGTCAGCTAAGAAATAAAAGTCATGGAAATGCAACAGTGAGTCTCTGTGATAAATGGACAAGGTATAAGGAAGCTCTTACTCTTTTATCAATAAATATCAGACTATGGTATGAACTTGCATGTTCTAGTTATCACCAAACTATATTATGCCCACATATTTTACTGGATTTGGTTCTGTATAATCAAATACTTATCTTCCCTTTCCCTGAGAGTTTTTAAGATATCTATAAAGGGCTTCAAATCTGATGTGCTGAAGGAGAAAAATGATCTTAACAGCAAAACCTGGCTCCATGATTAAATAAATTTATATTCATACTGGACAAGGGAAGCATGTTGTCTCTTGCCTGGGCTGCTGCTTTCTTTGATTAATAATCCCCTGCATGGCAGAACCCTGTTGTTAACTTGCCTATGACTGACACCTTTATCTATCTGTTCTTGGAATAAAAATAGCTTCACTCAGGTCTCAGTAAAAATGGTTGTTCATCAGGGCGAATGTAATAATACCATTACCCCTCCTTAGAGTTCAGTGGAGATGGGAGAGGAGTCCTCTGGTATGTCGCCAGGTTTCTGACCTCCCATGGGAGCTGAACGCAGTTAACAGCTGCCCTGTATGCTCGCTCGGTCTGCCTAGGCTGTTTGCCTTGACATCTCTTCTTTTTTTGATACCCAAGCCTCACCCATATCACCACCGCTACCCCATTTGCCACCAATCCGAACAGACCTCACTCACATCCCCTAAGGGATCATTTGTTTCATTAGCTGAAAGCAGCTGAAGGTGCAACAGGTCCCAGGCATGATTACATGTTTTTTAGCACATCGATGCTTACTGAAAGACCTTTAAAACACAACAAATATAATGCACAGTAGTGCAGAGGGAAATTTGTGAACCGAACAGCCTGGGTCCAGGAACTTTTTCTGGTGCCCATTAAACCTATGGCAGGGATGACCAGCCAGTCATCACACTGAGGTGAAGAATATCATTTCCAGAAGATAACACCAAAAATGTATTCACTGTCAGATTTTTTAAAAAGCACCCCCTGTGTTTCTGTCTAACTCCCCCAAGGGCTTCATTTCTGTCATCTTCTATGTGAATCAGTCTTCAGTGATAAACAAAATTTTATTCATTGGACAAGTAAACATCAGGGACTGTTAGTCTTCGTTAGAATGTTACTGCCTCAGATTAATGATTCATTGAATTTCTCTTGTTTCTTTTCCTTGCAAATCCCCACCTTTTCCTTTAGTGCAGTGATTGGTATAAAGAAGAAAAAATACTAAGTACAGTTCTTCAGTTATTGATAGTCTACATTTCTTTCCTGAGCAAAGAATTTGTCACTAGGAATTAGTTTGCATCCCTGGGCACTGCTCGAAGACACTTAATTCTTTGATTCAAATAAAAGTTTAAAATGTGATCTCAGTGACATTATGTCAAAAGAAACATGTCAAAACAGTGCTGGTTCAGAGAGCATTATTGTGCCTAGAAATCATGTCTTTGCTTTGAAGGAACAAAATAAATCATAGCAGCAGGAATGCATTTTTTTTTACAAGAGGCTCTCTGCAAACAGCAGAGGCCAGTTCTGCTCTCCCGTGTCTCATTTACTCTTCCCATCTCTCCAACCCGTGCTCCCTCAAGTGTGAAGTCCATGCCTGATGGTACGTCCTGCTTAAAACTCTTCAATGTCACCCCAATGCCTACAGACTTGTGAAAAGGCACCTGTCATGGGATCTGCCCTGTGCTCGTCTCTAGGCTCAAGCTTCCCCTTCATACCTGTTGTTGTTTTTAGAGCAAATCCAAACTATTTTCCTTTCTCCACTCACACTATGTTCTTTCCCATGTCTGTGCTTAGTGCAGGCTATTTTTGTCTATCAAATCTTACTTTTGGACCTGGAGAACTCTTCAGCTCTACCATGTATTAGGTGTTTGACTTTGTGCATATTACTTCACCTGGCCTTCATTTCCTCATTTCTAAAGTGGGAGCCTAAGAGCAGCATTTGGGGGCCCATGGGGTGCCATTCATAGAGGGCTTCAGCACCTGCCCCAGAGAAGAGGCTCAATGGAGACATCAGTGACACTGGCTGTATTTTGTGCTTATTACTGTCACCATCCTTCAAAATGGAACTCAGGTCTCGCTTCTGCTGAGAAGCTTTCCCTTACCTCCCCATCCCAAAGTGAATTACTTCCTTGTACTATGCATTTTTTATTGCCCTTTTATATCTTTTTCTTATCATTATTGTGGTACATGATTTGTTATAAGGTTGCTGGGCAATGAAGTTGATCATGTGGAAAAATGGGAATGAGAATGGTTCAAGGACACCTCCTAATTCATGTTTTATGGACCTCCTGCAATAGTGTGGTTAGGATATGATTGTTAATGGTAAGTGGACGAGTGGATTTTCTTTAGTTCCTGAGCTTTATAGCTTTGTAAGCTAATAGTTATTGAGTGCTTACTATATGTCAGGCAAGACATTAAATGTTCTATTTGTTCTTTACTATGACTAAATGTGGTAGGTATTCTTATTATTCCCCTTCACACATGTGGAAACTGAAGGTCTAGGATCATAGAGCAAAGATAGACCATCTGCAACCAAAGCTTGAACTCTTCGCTAAAGAACACTCTGTTCTGATCTATGAGGTGTCATTTGCCTCTGGGATGCTATAGTGTGCAAATGTATTTAATACACTTTAATTTCTAATTCTATTCCAGGTACTCCTTCCAAGATGAGGAGGATATGTTCATGGTAGTGGACCTCCTGCTGGGCGGGGACCTGCGTTATCACCTGCAGCAGAATGTCCGTTTCCAGGAAGATACCGTGAAGCTCTTCATCAGTGAGTTGGCCATGGCCTTGGACTACCTGCAGAGCCAGTGCATCATCCACAGGTCAGTTAGGTCCAAGGGGACAGCCTTGCACTGAATGTACAGGAGAGAATTCACAACCTGGTGCATTCAACAAGTTCTTGTTGAACATGACAGATAATCCTCACTGAACTCTTGCAACAGTCCCTTAAGGTAGTCTTACTGTCCCTCTTATGAAGATTTAAAAAAAAAAAAAAGAGCCCATTGAGCTTAATTTGCTCAAAGTCACAGTTAGTAAACAATAATACCAGAATCAATGAGTATTGGCACTAGACAAAGAAAAGGTGACATACAAGAATGTATCTCCTTCACTTGTGGAATCTGTGTTAAATGAAACAAAGAAATACACAAGTAGCTATAAACCCTAACAGACAATAGACAGAAAAGGATAATACTTTAATTTGTAGATATTGGTAGGTGGGGTGCTTGGGTGGCTCAGTCGGTTGGGTGTCTGACTCTTGATTTCAGCTCAGGTCGTGATCTTGGGGTTGTGGGATCAAGCCCTGTGTCAGGCTCTGCACTCAGCGGGGAGTCTGCTTCACATTTCCTCTCCCTCTCCCACTCCCTCCCACTCATTCTCTCCCTCTCTCAAATAAATAAAATCTTTAAAAAAAGATATTGGTAGGGTTTTTTTGTTTGGTTTTTATTTAAATTCTAGTCAGTTAACAAATAATGTAGTATTGGTTTCAGGAGTAGAATTTGTGTGATGTAAAGATATTGGTATTTTTAATGATGATTTCCTATATAGTATCTCAATTTCTATAATAACCTGTGATAAGTGATCAGAGCAGGTATAGTTGGACCATATTAAATATGAGAAAACTATCATTTGGAGATACTAATTATCATCCAGGGTATTTATGAGAATTTTTTATTAAGTTTCTAATTTTAATTTCAGTATAGTTAAAAGTCTTATATTAGTTTCAGGTGTACGGCATAGTGATTCAACAATTCTGTACATTACTCAGTGCTCATTATATAAGTGCACTCCTTAATCCCCTTCACCTATTTCACCCCCCCCCACCAACCTCCCCTCTTGTAACCATCCATTTATTCTGTATAGTTAAGAGTCTATGTCTTGGTTTGTCTCTCTCTCTCTCTGTTTTTTTCCCTTTGCTTATTGTTTTGTGTCTTAAATTCCATGTATGAGAGCAATCATATGGTATTTGTCTTTCTCTGACAGACTTATTTCACTTAGCATTATACTTTCTAGCTCCATCTATTTCATAGTACTGGAAGTCCTAGCCACACCAAGCAGACAACAAAAAGAAATAAAAGGCATCCAAATTGGTAAGGAAGAAGTAAAACTTCCACTATTCCTGGATGACATGACACAATATATAGAAAACCCTGAAGACTCCACCAAAAAGTACTAGAACCAATTCAGTAAAGTCAGTAAACCTAGGTCTCTCTGAACCCAGTCATAGCTCTGTCTACTATAATAACTTGCATTTCATTACACACATGAAATATATGCATTAAGTACACATCATTAAGTGAAAAATCAACACATGTGAGTCTGCCACTGTCTTATTTCTAATCTTTGAAGAATTTGCAAGGTTTTTAAGTATGTTTACATCTTTACAGTGTAGTAAAAATTTTGCCAAATAAAATATTTGCCAACCATTAAGTTGATGCTTACCTAAAATTTATCTAGATTAGTACAGAGCCTGTGGGTGAAGATATAGCATCATAATTTATAGATTCTTTGTGCAGGCACTATGGAACAATCTGTGTGTGTGTGTGTGTGTGTGTGTGTGTGTGTATGTGGCCTTGACCCTGTATACTTATATGCTCATTGTTTAATTTCCTGTCTTTCGGAGGACCTATTTGTTTTGGAAGTGTGCTATTCAGGCAACAGATAAACAGAAAGCAGACCAGTTAATCATGTAGGATCTTGGAAGTAAATGAACACACCCGGTGTTTCATCAGTAACTGGGAACCCTGTTCCCAAGCAGTCTTTCTGCCATACTGACTTTCTGGTCCCCACCAGTTCTTTCTAAGGAGGAACTTTCCTATTTGCAGTCTATGGTGTCCTCAGGGTATTCATGCTCACTCATCTGACCCAAGATTGCCAACCCACAATCTGGTTGGGTTGCTGACACTCTGGATCTCAGAAAGGAGGCAGGTACTATGAGAAGTCCGCATGGCTACAAGTACCTTTCAACTTTCTTCTTTCCCTGTTTGAATCCGGGCCCCTGCCTTCTTTCTCTGGGCTTCATTTGTTCTGCCCTATGCTTAGAAGTGTGTTCCAAAAGGAATTCAGGAGGGGAAAAAAACACAAACAAACAGAAAAGTCAACACAATTTGTACCCTAAGGAGCTTGCTAACACCAGGCATCGCTCTCCGTTCCTTCCTCCCTTGCTCTCTGTTGCTCTCATCATTCTGCCACTTAAATAAGAAACCAAGGATTAACTTTTTGCCCCTTGGCCTTTACACACTCACAATTATTACTTCATGCCCATTCTCAGAAGAGCCTCTTTGTACTAAAGTGACTCCTCACCATGGCAAATGAATGCAAACTCAGTGACATTCTGAGCATGGTGTTAAAATGAGAGGACATCTTCTTGGGGTCAGAAAATAATGCAGGTGTATTTCTGTTGTCTGTAAGGCCCCACTGCACTTCCCATGTGTTATGTATGTATGTGTATGTATACACATATATATGTATTTTTTAAAGAATTTATTTATTATTTGAGACAGAGAGAGCAAAAGCCGGGGTGGGCAGAGGGAGAGGGAGAAGCAGACTCCCCGCGGAGCAGGGAGCCCGACGTGGGGCTCGATCCCAGGACCTGAGCTAAAGGCAGACGCTTAGCCGACTGAGCCACTCAGGCACCCCACACGTGTTACATTTGATAGGCAACTGTAGCACTTTGTACCTCTCCTGAGGAGCTGTGACATGTTTACGAGCAACTACTTAATATCTGCTGCTCTCCTACAGTGTAAACCTCATGAGTTAGGGCTCGTGCGTTTTGCTTTTCACTGTATAACCAGCATGTAGTAAAAATATGAGGGAATGAACACTACCTCAACCATACAAATGATTGATTAAAGGCCAGATTTACAAATAACAAAGACAAAATTAAAATACAAGACATTAAAGCCAAGAATTTCACACCTACCTTGGTCTTCACGTAGAGTAACCATATAATTTATCATCCAAACCAGACTACCCCTGAAAATGAAAGGAGTTGCTATTAATAATTATGCTTGGGCAACGAGCAAACCCATAAGTGTTCTGGAAAAAATCAGGACATGTATCAACATCATTAAGGCTTTTCAAGACAGTAGTGACCAAATAAACATGTTAATTGGGAGATTGCCTGGATAATCATGGCTTTCTGCCTCCAGAGTACCAAATATCAAATTGAGAAGGTGTCAAGTGGCTTAAAATACAGAGACACAGTAAAGTAAGCTGTGTTCCTTTATCTGAGGTGTTAAAAGGATAATAATGATGGCACTCCAAGGCTCCGGCTCACGGGGCAGAGTTAAAAGTGTGAAGAGCAACAGGGAAGAAGAACAGGCTTTCGAGTACTCTAATTCTCTTTTTAAAATCTTTCTTCAGGGGCACCTGGGTGGTTTCATCAGGTAGCGCCCGACTCTTGGTTTCAGCTCAGGTCATGATCTCACGTCATGAGATCAGCCCCACATCCACACTTAACATGTAGGCTGTTTAAGATTCTCTCACCCCCTCTCTCTCTCTCAAAAAAAAAAAAAATCTTTCTTCAAAAAAATCCACAAAATTCATGCTAGATTTGATGGAATGTAGGGTAACAAGACATCTTTCAGCTACTCAGAAAATTGGATTATAAGACACATCCTGAGTTCTGAGTTTTTGTAGTGTGAATGAAGAAAACAGAATCTATGAAATTCAGTCGCTTCCTAAGACAAGGAAAGACCATCTGCATATATAAAATATGTGACTTCCTAATTTCAGACTCAAAACAACATTTTGTCTCTGGACACGGTAGCAGATTCAAAATCATCCCCATCAGTCAGCAAATGCGGGGCAGTGGCAACAGTGGGCTGCCATTTACTGAGGGCTTCCCGGGGCGCAGGTGCTCTCCCGAGCACTTGTGATTTATTTCATTTCATCTGCTCACAACCAGGAGGCTGAGGGTGTTACTGTCCCCATTTTACAGCCCAGGAAACTGGTTTAGAAAGATCAAGTAACTCGCCCAAGGTCGCATGGCTAACAAGTAGGTGAGGCATCACTGAAGAAAATGCAGATGTCTTCACCATTCCCCCACTCGTGGTGGTCAGCATGGTTGTGGCTTGGGGGGGTGGGGGGTTTGGGACAAGGTGAGGCATGGCCACTGCCTGCAGGTACTCAGTCTGGGGGCCCAGGTGAAGATGGTACATATGGAACCAACTGACGAGAGAGCGGCGTACAACTAGACGCTAAATTGTGTGAGAAAGCCTGAAGTAGTTCAGGCAAGATGACGGTTTGGGGTGACAAAACAAAGTTTCTTGAGAGCTCGGAGGATTTATAAAGGGTTTTCACAATGAGAGCAGAAAGAAGAGTCCAGTCTATGTCAGAGGAAGCGTACTCTGAAAGCACTCATTTATCTCCCTGTGTTACATAGAACGGTCTGTTTTTAATTTTTTCTTCATGTTGACCTTCCTGTCAGCAGTGTCTACTTTAGTTATTTTTTTAAATACCATAAATGCTGTTTCTTTCATAAATTCCAAACAAGACATAAAGGGGGAGTTGTTTTATTTTGTGTACCTTTTTATTTTAACCCACTGACTTTAATTTTTGGTAGTTTCCTAAATGTGTAGAATATTTAGCTGCTTGTCCTCAACTTTAGAAACTTCCTTTTCTACAGTTGTTGTGAAAGACACAGGATTGCACACTAAGCATTAATTTTAAATTGTGTAATTGGACACTTTTCTTAGCAAGACGTCAAACATTTTTCTATGAGGACAGCTTGAAAATCAGCGTAGTTTCCAAGTGATGGCCAGTCTCTAGTTCTAGAAACTTACATTTAATCAGGGAGTAAAGATTTTAAAATGTAGATACA